GAGAGAGAGAGAGAGAGAGAGAGAGAGAGAGAGAGAGAGTTGAACAGCTGGTAGAGAGGAGGAGTAAGATAGGAAGAAAAGAGGGAAAGGCAAACTGAGGGTGAAGCAGGTCGGCGGAATACTCCGTAAGATGGATGGCCTTACGATCACGCCGTGGAAACGCTAAGAGGCGCGACGGGTCATTGAAAGTGGGGGCGGAAGACTAGCTAATGAAGAATAATGTCCTTTCCTCTCAACGATTATTCCTGGAACTTCACGTAACAGCCCGAATTTGTTAGTAATCTTCATTGTATAACCTAACGGAATAATTCTAACGAGACGATAACGGTGGATAGTAGATGCGTGAAAGAAAATTGGAATTTTGAAACCCTAATTGGTATTTGCGGGTTCAATATACTTTAAATTAATGTATCTTTGCTTAAAGTTAACATAATTGAATAATTTTTTTCATTTTGAAGATCAAAATCCGAGGAAAATAAGATGTAAAATTGTGAAAAATATTTATCATAATTTCGCAATGTAATTGACAAAAATGCTTCGGGACCTGCGAATACCGATTAGGGTTAACATAAAAGCTCTAACTAATTCACACGTACAGCTTTACATCATTTTCTTGAGAGAAATAATACTTATCGTTATATTCCTGTTACCATTATTACAGTATTTACACGAAATTAATACGATGTTATCGGTTTTTGTTAATAAAGAACGACTTACCTTTTGATCTGCCCTCACGAGAGATATACTGTGTAGGAATTTTTTTCGCATCGGTAAGCCGCACGAGAAACATCATTGGATTTTACGAAGCGGCCCGGTAGCCGCGGCACCATGGGCGACGACGGTAAGCCAGGAGGGAGTAAATTCGATAGGACAGAATGGTACGGCGGGCGAAAGATGCCGCGACTCGAGAATCAATAAACTCTCTCGCGCAAAGGCGCAGCGTGTACACACAAGATGCCGCGCCCATAAAGTTTAACAGCGTCGTGGAATCGAATCTTGACTGAAGCTATCTGCGACGGCCCAGGAGAATCTTAACGCTTTTGATTCGTAAATCCGTCGAGGAACGTATCATATACATTCACGGTATCTCGGAACTCGTGAGTGAAAACACTACTCGCTTGACCAACTGGATCCCAACTATATTGACCAAATGATCTGTGAGTCGTGAGAGAAATCGCGTTTGAAACATAAATATACCATACGGACACATCGCGCATTCCGATAATAATTTATGATATAATTAATTAGTATATTATGTTAATCTCATTAATAGCTATTTCCAATCCAATTTGACGAATATTCACAAAGTACTACCGACGTACCAAGCTACGATACATAAAATCTGTGTTCACGCACAAAATTGTATTGTATGTTTACTGTAGTTGTGTAATTTTTAATAAGTTAACAAATTTCAAGCCCATCGGATCGATATTCTCTCATTGGTAACGTCGAAAAGATCGGCATTGTAGCCCAGTTGATGCGATAAATCGAATCCATTGTTTTTCGTCTGGCGACTGACTCGGAGAACAATGGTCGGCGTCACATCATCCGAGCAATAAAATCTCATCAAATCACGACCCCTCGCCATCGTGTAAGCCTCCATTTGGCCTCTTCCTTCCTCTCGCTCACGCACGCGTTCGGCACAATCTACGAAAGCTTATATAAATGTAATGAGACCGTGACCGGGGACGCCTCATCAATCACACCCCCGTACCGGGTCCCCTTTCTGTTCTGTCCCATTTCATCGTCGGCGTCGCTCTTTCCTACGGTCGTCTTCCGCGCCGCACATACGTCTACTGGTCTACGTGCTACATAGACACCCTCGGATACCGCACCGGCCCGTCCGCGGTAATCCCGTGACTTAACATCGGGCTCCGGGCTCTCCGGGTAACCGCGATTTGTTCCATTGCGCTCAGAAGTTGCGCGCCACGCCGCGCCGTTAGTTCCTCGGTCAAGAGAGTCTTACAACCGAGTCTTACCGAAACCCGGCTCTTGAGAGTAAGGCCTATTTAAGCGGAACAGTTTTCAGACGATATTCCATCGAACTGGTGCATCGTTTTATAGTACCAATTTACTGCGCTGTTTATCAATATTTTTGCCCACAATGAATTTATATAATATATTAAATCAAAGTTTGAAATTGCTGCTCGTTGAATAAAATTAACTTAAAATATCTATTGCCCGTTTTCGATTAATATTACAACTTTGCGAAATAATGTATATTTGCATAAAATAAATATACCATTTACATAAATCGTTATTGTCTGCCTCTTTGAAATTTTGCAAAATATTTTTTTGATAAATAGATCAGTAATTTCAAAATAGGTTGTCTTTTTACGTATACTATATATCGTGTATTTTAGAATAAAAATTATATCAAATAGCCAATATTAGAGTCGAAAGCAAGTTACCGCATTCGCGTTATTCGCAAAATCTATATGCGAATAAATCATGCATTTGTATCATAAATTTGTATTGTTAAATCTTATCGATGACTTGGTTACATAGAAGTACAAATTCGATAGATATAAGAGCCTGATACTCTTTCACTTCGCATTGGCACAAAATTGAGTTTTTTTTTTGTTATAAAGTATAAGAAATTTTCAAGCACCGTCGCGACATGTAAACACCAAAAATTTAAATCTCCCGACGTAGCGTTTTCTTTACGTTTTTGTGCGTCTAGGTTAACGATCTCGTTCATTTCGTGCGAAACGTTCGCGTGAATTCGTGCGAGTTCGCGTTCTTTACAAG